TTTACCCCATAGATTTCAATGCCCATAGGGGTTTCTTCAGCCAGATTGATCATCTGGGCCATTAGTATCACCATGCCGATTTTGAAGAAAATCGTAGGGGCCGCCCCATTGACTGAAAATTTTCATCTTGGGTAAACTTTACCCTGGATGGGGTAATGGGTAAATTTTACCCCACCATTTTGTTTGGGTTTTCATGGGCTCTCATATGATACCCATATTGGGGGGATGCGTGCGATACACTTGCCAGAAATTCGTGGGTAGAACTTTCCAAGGGCGTTTTTACCCCATAGATTTCAATGCCCATAGGGGTTTCTTCAGCCAGATTGATCATCTGGGCCAGTAGTATCACCATGCCGATTTTGAAGAAAATCGTAGGGGCCGCCCCATTGACCGAAAATTTTCATCTTGGGTAAACGTTACCCTGGATGGGGTAATGGGTAAATTTTACCCCACCATTTTGTTTGGGTTTTCATGGGCTCTCATATGATACCCATATTGGGGGGATGCGTGCGATACACTTGCTAGAAATTCGTGGGTAAAACTTTCCAAGGGCGTTTTCACCCCATAGATTTCAATGCCCATAGGGGTTTCTTCAGCCAGATTGATCATCTGGGCCAGTAGTAACACCATGCCGATTTTGAAGAAAATCGTAGGGGCCGCCCCATTGACCGAAAATTTTCATCTTGGGTAAACTTTACCCTGGATGGGGTAATGGGTAAATCTTACCCCACCATTTTGTTTGGGTTTTCATGGGCTCTCATATGATACCCATATTAGGGGGATGCGTGCGATACACTTGCCAGAAATTCGTGGGTAAAACTTTCCAAGGGCGTTTTTACCCCATAGATTTCAATGCCCATAGGGGTTTCTTCAGCCAGATTGATCATCTGGGCCAGTAGTATCACCATGCCGATTTTGAAGAAAATCGTAGGGGCCGCCCCATTGACTGAAAATTTTCATCTTGGGTAAACTTTACCCTGGATGGGGTAATGGGTAAATCTTACCCCACCATTTTGTTTGGGTTTTCATGGGCTCTCATATGATACCCATATTGGGGGGATGCGTGCGATACACTTGCCAGAAATTCGTGGGTAAAACTTTCCAAGGGCGTTTTTACCCCATAGATTTCAATGCCCATAGGGGTTTCTTCAGCCAGATTGATCATCTGGGTCAGTAGTATCACCATGCCGATTTTGAAGAAAATCGTAGGGGCCGCCCCATTGACCGAAAATTTTCATCTTGGGTAAACTTTACCCTGGATGGGGTAATGGGTAAATTTTACCCCACCATTTTGTTTGGGTTTTCATGGGCTCTCATATGATACCCATATTGGGGGGATGCGTGCGATACACTTGCCAGAAATTCGTGGGTAAAACTTTCCAAGGGCGTTTTTACCCCATAGATTTCAATGCCCATAGGGGTTTCTTCAGCCAGATTGATCATCTGGGCCAGTAGTATCACCATGCTGATTTTGAAGAAAATCGTAGGGGCCGCCCCATTGACCGAAAATTTTCATCCTGGTTAAATCATGCTTTTGGTAAAATGGATACGGTATTTACCCATATCATTAGGTCCGGGGTGAAGAGATCTTTCAAATGGTGGTCTTATTTTTCAGTTTCGTCCAGCCGTTTAGGCGTAAAACGGTTTTTAGATTTTTCCCTAGATTTTTAGATTTTTCCCTAGATTTGGCAGCCCCAATCTGGGCTGGGCCGAATCTGGGCTGAATGTGGGCTAACTTCCGTTACATTGGGTCATGGCCCATATCCAGATTGGAAACGATGTAACACGCAAAGAGCTGCTGGCCTGTCCGCCACACGGCTGCGCGTGCACGGGCAGTCGGCAGCCACCCACTCGCCGAGCAGACCCACTTTCGCCACTATGAATGGTGACGCTGGAAACCGCGCCACCTATCAGCACGCTCTTTGACAACGTTATTGTTATCACGTTTCTTTACATTTCTATTAGACTAATTATTGCCGGTCCCAGTGAAAAGTTTGATGCCATTTTCAGCGTTTAATTTTCAGGAGAAAATTGATCTGCGATGCTTTTAGACGAAAGTCTTTGTAGGTACTAACATATCGCGCAACAAGTGAGTGCTGCTTAACAAACCACAAAATAGCAACAGAGACCCCACCCACCTTTGACACTTGAGGTCTTCTTAGGTCATGGAAAGTAAAGAACCGTTTTTCGTCAATAGCTTTTAATACACATTCTGGAGTGATAAAACACCTAGCATGCGTTCAGCCCGATGGTACTGTCCGACTGGTTTGCATCATAACCTCGGTCATGTCATTTCGCTTACAGCCTCACTGCGCATTTTAAGGTCACGCGATGAGTCAACCCTCGCCCAGGGGGGAGGGGGGTCGAACGGAACCCATTTCAGTTTTTCGCGAATATCTCGCCCAAAAAAGGCCGATCGCAGCGACACTCTCATTACCCTCGAGTTGATCAATTTTACGCCTAATATAAAAATCGCAAGACCCTAACCCAAATGACCTTTGACGTGTGATTTATTCCTCAAGACCAGGTTTGGCCGGAATCGCGATTCGGCGTATGTCGGCTCGCATTAGCCGCGCGTTTGCAGTCTTTTTGTGGTTTGACATGTTCAAACATGTGAAATGATATTGATCCCATGCATTATGATGGGTGTCAAGGTCACGTTAAGGTCAGGTCAGGTCACTGACTTTGATGACATTTGTTCAATTTTTCGAGTTTTACATGTTTCTTGGTTACTTTTTGGGGCTGATTTCGAATTTAGCACCCATTTGAATATTAACTAAGTAGTTGTGGTGCCTTCGTAAACATGTTACGAAGCTGTCAGTGGTGGTTGACACCATACTATGTATACCCGACAGGACGCCTGCTGGTTGACCTGACCTGACCCGACCTGGCCTAAAGGCATGAAGACATCATCTGTGCTCAAAACCAGACATGTGCACGGATCCCAGACAACCAATCACGGAAATCGAGATGGCCATTAGATTGACGGTCTTCAAGCATGAAATTATGGTGGAAAACATGGCTCATAGAAGCCTCTCAATGAACCAACTATTTTGCATTCCATCAGGGTTTACAGTTCTGAGAAAATCCCTCAAGATCCATCTCGGATCCAGGATCCGTGACCATGGATCCGAGATGGATCTTGAGGGATTTTCTCAGAACTGTGAACTCTGAGGGAATGCAAAATAGTTGGTTCGTTGAGAGACATCTATTAGCCATGTTTTCCACCATAATTCCACGCTTAAAGACCACTAATCTAGTGGTCATCTTGATTTTCGTGTTTGGTCGTCTGGGATCCGTGCCCATGTCTGCTCAAAACTAACACGAAATTCGTGACCTACACCCCGAAAAGGAAACATAACAATTTCACTTTACGAAGCTCTGACAAGTCCCGAGTTTTCCGACTTTTGGGTCCTTGACATGACCTGGAAGGTCAATTAATGACCTAAGATATTAAAATTGGGTGTCGTCGGCTTCCTCGCGTTATGGGCAGCACCCTCGTCTTTTTTTCGCGAAGTCTTAGCTCAGTCAGGGACCAAACGGCAAGGGGGTTCAACTCACCCCCCCCCCCCGTACTTTCGCGGCTGTCAAAACACCAATACGGGCGAGGGTTATAGAGGATTCTTCATGTCTCCGAGTGGAAGCTAAGGATATCCTTTCCAAGCGAGTTGCCGAGCTGAAAAACCGAGCGTCGAAGGAGCGAGGTTTATCTGCAGAGCGAGGTTTATCTGCAACATGCGAGGAAAAGATATCCGATTTTCCACGAGTGAGCCACGAAGAATCCCTTATCTTTCTATGTTGGGATTTATTCTTAATTAATTAAATATTATATGTAAATGTATTTAATTCATCTAGAGGTATAAAAATAGATAAAAAGTAGTTTGTTTTTATTTCATAAGTTTCATACACCAACATCCATTAAAAATGGTTCGGTTATTGACCTATCATCACTTGAGCTATTGATTTTTGGCTGTGAACCTCGAGACTATCTTTGCATCTCAGAGGGATGCAAAGATAACAATTCTTATCTTTGCATGTCAGATGAATGCGAGATAGAAATATCCCGGCACTGTAGAGTGTAGAGCCAATGGCAAATAAACATCAACTAGAAAGCCATGAGGTTATTTTCCAATTATGGAAAAGGTATTTTCAAGTTCCACAGCGGATGTTGCATATGTAGGAGTGGGACATATTGCAACAGAAATCACATTATTCGAAAGCTCATAGACCGCAAGTCACTTTTTTGCAAATCGTTAGTGAATGCCCAACCTCTTGTGGCTTTAACAGCAAAACGTGTCCAAGAAACAGGCGCACCGACGCCCCAGTCCAATTCGAGCCTAGATTCAGGACGCACTGCATCGCCTTGAAACTTACACGATAGACACCTGGGAGCAGGCCTGGGAGTAGAAAATACGTGACCGAACTCATTCGGCACCATTATAATCGCTCATGAAATCAAGCAAACCATTAGATCGAAAAATTTCTTACTGTTAGGAGAGTTTAGGAGTCAAAGTTGATCGTGCCCACCTTTGCCAGGTTGGTCCCGATGACGTGTAGGGTTGGACTACATAGATGATCATGCCTCATGCCGACCCCCCCCCCCCCCCCCCCTCCAACTTGAAAGTCGCTCCTACACCACTGTCATATTTATGTGTATTTTCCTTGCGCAGTGGATCCCATAACGGCTGGCCGGCGAGCCGAGTTGGCCTAGTGAAGCGCGCTGTAGTCGGCGGCGAGTCCCGACGAGTCGGCGCCGGCGCCGGGAGCCTGCCGCTCCCACAGCCCGCTCACCGGTACACGGCTACGGTCCCACAGGACAGCGAACGTCGAGCCGCAACGGAGAAAGCCGACCCACACTGCAGTGTGCCGGCAGCGCGCGCCAACATCTGAATGATGGACTTTCTCTGAACTCCCAACGCCCCACGGAATTTATAGATGGCTGCATGATGGGAAGCATGGGGAATGGGGCGAAGCAGAGCGTGGTGGGGCTGCCGGCTCACCTGAGGCGCCAGGAGCAGGCTGATGGGCACCAGCAGCTGGGCCATGACGAGACGTCTCATCGGCTGAGAAACAGACAGGCACACACCGTAAATATGGCAGCGCAATAAAGAATAGGGAAGACCCGGGAGGTATGGGCCGGTTTTGTGAAATGGTAATTTTCCTCCAGTGGGCAGTGGATAGATCTGGTTTTTCACTCTGTGTACGTGATATCGCCTTTCGCCTGTAAAGTGTGCCGGATATTAGGCACCTGGGATAGACTATTTTGTCTCAAGATAACTTTTAATAAATCATGCGCTTTTTCGATCCATCAAAATACACCGGGAGGTATGGGCCATGGCCCGGGAGGTATCGGCCGGTGTCATGTTTCATATTCTTTTCTCGACATTGAGAACAATGCTCGTCGCTGGGATCTACCTTGAGATCTCTTAGAGCCCAGGTACCGCATAAGCTGTCAAAAGCTTACTTCATGGAGGCCATTTGGGCACATATTTATTATGGTTACAGGTTAACTCAATCATGTTCTATGAAATAAGACAAACAACATTCTTCTGTTAAAATGCAATCTCTAGTTAGATTTTCGACCATGCGCGACAAAAACACAACCTATTGAAGAGGATATTCAGAGAAAGCATCATTTCATTGATTTAGGGTCACCGGGGGTGGGTGGCCCAAACCTCCCGGTTAGGACGCCAGAATGCGCCTAGCATCTCAGGTCATAATCTTGCAAGAAAGCTTCCTTAATATTTTTGAGTGTGTTCCAAATACGTTTGGTTCTTGCTCACATGAAGGCGGTTGATAGTTAGGTGTTAGTCTGTTTTTGATCACAACTTGCAATTTTTTTCAATTCACAGTTCAGTTCACATTCAATTCACATTGACTTCGGGGCACCAAAACAATGGAGCTCAGTGGTGACAGTGACGAACCATTGTCTCAGAACTCTCCAATGGAAGAGGCCATGGGTGGAGCTTTTCCAGGGGAGTTAGTGGGGCAAAAAGTTATCAAACCTATGATGTCCGGTTGTTAAGTAAAACAAAATACAACAATGAATCAATTATTTTCATTACAGAGTTCATACTTTACATTACACAGACACTTCAAAGCTCCTAAATGCGAAGAAGATTGGTTTGCTAAGCAGCATAGTTCTGCTCAGCTTAAGTTGCTGGGGCCAAACGCTTATTCACTGTAAACCAAATTGACAAGTCTTGTGTAATATAACCAATCATCTCTTGGTATGTTTACCAACTGATGCTTTTTAAACATGTCGTTGTCTGGTGCATTGCTTGTCAGGTGACAACTACGAGTCAATAGTTACTATGCACACCAACTTCTCAGTATCCAGACCAACTCTACATTTGTTTAAACGTTTGTTTCTTAACCAGTTTTGGAAACTAGCTGCCGCATGTTTATTTAACTGGCGTCTGACTTGTACTGGTCAGCTGGTCAGTATACACATGGTCAGCTGCGCCTGACGTCAGACTTGGCGGACCAATCAGCAGTCGCCGGACGCCGTTAGCGGGCCCCGGCGGTTTCGAACCAGCAGTTGTTGCGCGACCGCCGTGCAGCATGGAGCAGTGACGAGGGCTGTTCCAGCATTGGTGCAGTAAAAAGTGAAATATGTGAACTGTGGTGTTCGTGCTGTGAGTGAGGCCCCCTCTGGCCTGCGGGACGCACTAATCGTGCCTACCAGCGGCCGAGACGCCTCCCTTCTGCGCGCGCAAAGTAAGTGGGCCAGACCGTGCAATGTGCATGCACATGTTAGCAGATGTTTTGCGGTCGGTGTTTTTTTTTATAAAAACACATTTATTTGCCTTTAATTCAACTCTTTGTATTTTTAACTTAACCTCTGACCTCAGGTCACCAAAGTTACTTAAAAAAAAATTTTCTAGGTCAAATGCTACACAACCGTGCTCGTTATTTGTCTTTATCTCTAAAACTATTTTTGGCAGCTGGTTGAAGTTCACGTCTGTGACGCCGAAGTTTGCCGTGCAGGAGTCTAGAAAAAATCGGCCCTGAGACCTTATCAAGAAGGCTAGGTCCAATTTGTTTTGCTTCAGAAAATTTTAAATTAATGGGGGATAAGGTACAGCATGTTTCGTATTTCTACTCCTAAGCGTTCATGTGGTATCGCAAATATTCGCCAGGGGAGGCGAAAAACGCCCCCCCCCCCTTTCCGGGCACGCGAGGATTAATGCTTAAGCTCAATACGTATGCATGTAACCTGAAAGGCTGAAACCATAATAATTTTTAATTGGCAGAATCTAGGGGCAAGGAGCTCATGGATTTTGCAGATCGGGGTATCAGACAACAATCGGGTCACCTGAAGCTTGCCCCCACTGGCGAAAATTCGTGGCGCCGCCACTGGTTAGTGTTCCATTCCCGTGTTGTGGCCGAAGCTGTGCTATTCTGGCCACTCTAACAGCCGGCGGCTATACCGGCCGACCCAGGTGACCGCCCGCCCGAGAACTGAATACAGTTGTCTCAGACATGTGCTGGAGTGTGGTCTGCGGTCCGAGTGCGATTCAAACATGGCGCGGTCGGTATCTACGCCTTAGAGCAGTGTGAAGCTCTTCATTGTGACGACATTTGCGCGAGCAGTGATACATTGAGAGTGTGTGTGTAGCACGGACGATGTCCGACACTGAGAAGAATACCGAAATGAAGCCGGCAGGGGCGGCACCGGTGGAGACGTCGACAGAGATGCTAACTCGCCTCCTCGGGCAGCAGCTGGAGCTGGCGGCCAGGCGGGACGAGCAGCTGACCATGCTGCTACAGCATCTCCACCCTCCACCGAGTGCCGGCGTCGGCGCTCACCCAACCAGCACCGGCGCGAGCACTAGGACGGAGGACGCGACGGCGGCGGCTACCGCTGGTGCTCGGCAGCGGATCAGCCTGCCGGCGACGGGAATGCCAGTTCCCAGACTGCACTCCTCGGTATCCCTGGTGGAGTTCGAGACCTGGAAAAGGAAATTCGGTGGATACTGCTTGCTGACACACATCCGTGAGCTCTCCATTCCCGAACAGAAGGCAGCTCTCATCGCCGTTGTGGACGATGACTGGGCCCGCACAATCGATTTTGGACTGCAGACGCCGGCCGAATCGGATCTAGACACCATCATCGGCGCTATGCACATGTACTTACGCCGTCAGCGAAACGTTATAATTGACCGCAGAGACTTCACATCCCGTATGCAGCAGCCCGGCGAGTCGATCGATGAATATGTGTGTGCTTTGAAGGAAATCGCCGCGTGTTGCGATTTTTGTGAGCAGTGCATCGATGACAGATATCGAGATCATCTCGTGGTGGGCACGATCGACAGTGACGCGCGCCGACGCATGCTCGAGACGACCGACTTGACGTTCGACAAGGCGCTGGACATCTGTCGAGCTTCAGAATGTGCAGAAGCCAGAATGTGCAGAAGTGCAGACGCCATAGACCCCGCGGCGTGACAGAATACCCCTGATTCGGCTCAACTACACTGCATCTCTTCAAAGCCTAAGCATTTTACAATTTACCACCCAGCTATGCACAAGCGCAGGCTCATAATTCACTGCTCAACTCCTTTTTTGCTCAACCCAATTCCTTTTTCTTATCATCTTTTTGTCACCGTCAATCGCCATCTGCGCTATCCACTGTCCAGCGAATAATCCGGCCTTCTCCAGTTCTCCGGCAGGGGCTTCCAAACTCAAGCGAACTCAACGAAGTTTCGCGATTCAATGCGCTGGAGCTGCACAATTGAGTTTGAGAGCCTCTGGATTGGTGCGCCGTTGGTCCGGCCAAGTACGTGAGTGACGTCATGCTATAAGCGTCATCCCCCGACCAAAGTCACCAATCAGAGCCCTAGAATCGACGTTTAGTTCCACACTTAGGTAACTCACGGCCCGTCCGTCCCTCTGTGCAGTGTGCAGTGCAGAGACCCTGTGCTACTGCGGTATCAGACTGCTCAACGAGCACCGCCTTGATCGCACTGCTGGGGCGTTCCACGACAGATCGACCAAAAAAATCGCGAAATAGCACCCTACCTCTCATATTTTGATAAAATTTCGTCTATGGGGTTATCTTGCCCGGCGATTCGTGTTGTGACATTTTCAATCTCATTCGTCGAATACTTTGGGAGATATTGCCCCAGGCAATTTAATTGCTACTATAAAAACTCTAAGTTTCAACCACAGATATTTAGCTAAATACCCATTAGATTCATGTAAAACTGCATATGATCACAATTAGAATTAACCAAAGATTTTCGTGATATCAATTGTTTTTGAAAATTTTGATTTTTAATTTTTTTAACATAAAATTGATTTATAAAAATCAAATTTTGAGAACGTGGCCATCCTTTTTTACAATTTACTTTTGCAGCAAAAGTCTTGTCAAGGCATTTACTTTCAATGATGAAAATATTAAAAACATGTTTTTCCCCTAAAGGTCGCTGTACAACATTGAATTTCGCCGTACAGTGGAAACAATAACAATAACTGTCAAACCGTCTGAACGGAGTAGGCGGTCAAATGTGATCAAGAGCTCATTGCAACGCTGTTAATTTTTTTTTAAAGATGCCTAAGACACTTACGAAAGCTAAGTTAGGACCCAAAGATCCAAAAACGTCATAATGGCGTATTGTTTTCAAGAGAGCGAGGCTTAAAGGGACTATCCCACCTTCTAAAATGTTGTTAAAACCAGTTAAATTGTGCCCGACTTTATAGATTGGATGACCAGGAACACGGTTCTGGCATTTATTTTTCATTAAACATCTTAGGCTTCCCATATTCCAAACACAAACTTTCAAATATGTGACGTCACAGCCCAAAATTACCTCCTTCCCCAGGCCACATTACTGTCATAAAGCTGATTCTTTTTACTCTGCAGGCACCACAACAAAGTTCAGACCAAGTTTTAAGCGATTTTTCAACGAACAAACCCATTTAAATCAGAATGACTAAATGAGGTGACGTCACACTAACGGTCGCTCCATGTTGAAGATAGGGCCTTGCGCAAGGCCCATTTTCAAATGAAGGGAACGAATTTCTTCAACACCAAGAGGCCGCGGGGGTTGCAACCTAGATA